ACAATGAATGTCTTACTGAGTACATATTCCCCATAAACACAAAAATATTGACCGTCAAGAGGGCTGCATATCTGACCCGACGGGGGTAAAGCTATAAGAAGAGGAGCATGTCAGTGTCAATCGCCCTGTCACCTCGCCAAGCGCCATTCAGGGCACCAACCTTCGGATCGAGTTTCGTTGTCATGGTGGTATATGTGTGCGTTAATCCACGCAGTACTTGACAAACCGTGAGTTTCAGAGCCCAAGACTTGAGAACCCAGACAGAAGAGCAAGGGTGGGGAGGGACATATCGAGACACTTATACCCCATGTGGCATACCCCATGGGGAAAACCCGCACCAAGCCCCAGCTAGGTCCCTAGCCCTCGGCTGTCAAGATGGACCCCGGATTATTGCCCAGGTGGTATGCTTGAGACCCCCGTTGTGATTCGTGCACGGGATGTGGTGCTCGGCTTAACCGACCAGGTCGGCTCCACATTGCGTCTTCGAGGACGAATCCAGATAGGATTATCCAATCTCGCACAGGACTCTACCAATGGCGAGTGCGGGCCACGGTGGTCCATGCTCCTTATCGCCATGACCTTTGCCTATTGAGGTGGTGGTTCGTCTATGTCTATCAACGGTGCTGATTGGCGTCCTGATAGTCAATACTGTGGGATTATAGGCTCGCTCGTAGCTTGGACCTTTCTGATGGCGGGGTCTCAAATAGCTTGTATGCAGCAGAGTCTCCTAACGGTGTCTGATCCAGGTCATTGTGACAGTTGGTGATCGGGGAGGAGGCGAGGATAGGAAGTACCTTGAATGCCAGAGGACGTGCGTCACACAAACACGTGGGCAGATCGTCGCCAAGCCTGTGTGAACATGATCTGGATATTGTCAAGCCTCAAGCTCATTCAGATGATTAGCTTTGCCTTCCTCGTATCAGAACCAAAGTTGTCTGGATTTCTCGCGTTGGCCATGACGCGAAGTCATGCTCGCCCACTCAGTCTTCGGAGCGAGGTGTAGTGACACTTGAGTGGGAAGCATGACCAGCGGCAGGCGGAGTCTTCTCTAAGACGGCTCTAGCTCAACCATCTCACGTTCGAGCCTTCCTTCCACTGAGCAGCTGGAGTAAAAAGCACTGCAACATGCGTGGCAACGGCAATGCAAGCGAGGTGGAGAACATCCATAAATTCTGGAGTTCTGGGGTAAAGTGGGGAGAGCAAATACGAACTGTCAGAGTCATGCGGGGGGTGGAATTCCCAAGCCCAAGACCAACAGAAAGGAGAATCCGGGGGAATGATCGATGCACCTCGGATATAAGCCCCGGAAAACCCGACCCCCGGCAAAGCCGAGCAACCACCTTGCTGTACGCCCGTAGATGGAAACCACCAATTCGGTAATGGGAAGCTGTGTTGCACCCATGCCTCGGACTTAAAACCTCTGCAGTAATCCTTGACCTTCATCCTTTTCTCCCTTCTTCTGCCACTCCCCATACTTCAACATCCAGTAACTGACAATGGGTATTATCAACAGTCTCATCAGCGGTACCCCCGACTCTTCAAAAATGGTAAGCAGGCCCAAAACCCCGAGCCGACAAATGCTCCCATCGATTCTCATGATCCAACTCGCATGAACTGACAACGGGACATTGACCCACCACAAGGCCCCCTCAGACTCGCAACTCAACATCATCATCGTCGGCGCCGGCCTCAGCGGCCTCGCCACGGCCATCTCGTGCGCCATGGCCGGCCACACCGTCACCGTCCTCGAACAAGCGCAAGAACTCGCCGAGGTCGGCGCCGGGCTCCAGATCACCCCCAATGCCTCCCGGCTCTTCAAACACTGGCAGCTGCCTGCCAATATCTGGACGGAGGCCGCCGAGCCAACGTCGCTGACGGTGCACCGGTACACGGGGGAGACGCTGGCGCACGAGGCGCACTTCGACCGCAACATCCGCGCCAAGTACGGGGCGCCGTTCATCGACCTGCACCGCGTGGACCTGCAGCAGGCGCTGTACGCGCGGGCGCGGGCGCTGGGGGTAACCTTCCACCTGGACGAGCGGGTCGACGCAATCGACTTCGAGACGACGACCATCACCACCCTGAAGGGGCGGCGGGTGAGCGGCGACCTGATCGTCGCGGCGGACGGGCTGTGGTCGCGGTGCCGTGAGAACTTCTATGGAAGAAAGGACGAGCCGCTGCCCACGGGCGACCTGGCGTATCGCATCGTGCTGACGGCCGAGCAGCTCGCGGACGACCCCGAGCTGCGCGCCTGGGTCGAGAACCCCACCGTGCACTTCTGGGTCGGGCCGGGGGCCCACGCGGTGGCGTACTCGCTGCGCGGGGGCTCGATGTTCAATATCGTACTGCTGGTGCCGGATACGCTGCCGCCGGGGGTGTCGAGGCAGGCAGGGTCGGTGGAGGAGATGCGCGGGCTGTTCGTGGGTTGGGATCCGGTGTATGTTCTCTCCCGTCTATGGAACTAAGTGGTAGCCCACTGACTGGAGGGAAACAGACTAGCCAAGTTCCTGACTTACGTGAATGGCGTCGACAAATGGCGCCTCATGCATCGTACGCCAATTCCTTTGTTGTCTTACTGAGGGTAAGCACTAACCTTAATTGCAGACGCAGAAATGGACTCCTGGATCAACGACAAATCAAACCTAGTCTTCATGTAAGATATATTCCAGCCCTTGTCTTTCTAACTTAAATGCTGGAAGGTACTGACCTGCATCACCAGCGGTGACGCCTGCCACCCCATGCTTCCCTACCTCGCACAGGGCGCCAATTCCTCCCTCGAGGACGGCGCCGTCCTCGGCGGCCTCCTTGGCCATATGAAGCAGAAATCCGACCTCCCACAGATTCTGAGACTCTACGAGAAGCTCCGTAAATCCCGCGGGGAGGCTATTGTCCGCGAAACGTTCAAGCAGGTGTGTTTCCCCCACACGCATCACTTATTTCCATCATCAGATCAATCCCATCACTAACCAAGGGCTCAGAGAAACGACTTCCACATGCCCAACGGCCCCGAACAAGAGAAGCGCGACCAAATCTTCCTTTCTCAATTAGGCAAGGAACTCAAAGGGGCGTTCCCGAGTCGATGGTTCGTTCCACCTGTTCTTGGGCCTACAAGGAGTATAACTAACCACAGGCAATACAAATGATTAGGACCTGTCCCGAAGTCCAACCGTGGTTGTACGGCTACGACGCCATCAAGGAGGTCGAGAACGTTGTGGCGGAGAATCCGGGGCTGTTCAGTGGACAGGTCACGGCGAATTTGTAGAATGCTACTTTCCTTTAATTCTTTGTTGTCCGAATATTTGAAGCGGGATCTTTGTACAGTCATTTTGCAATATAGTATACATTTCTTCTTGTCTTCGTGGCTGATGAGGTCAATCCCAAGATCATTAGCTCACCTCTCCTCTGTGTATGCAGTGATCCAATTTTGGGAGTTGAGTCGAGGGGGAATACGCAGTGTTGCAGGGGGGTCGCATTTCTTCATATTGGAGATATCGTCCCAGGGGTGGTGAAAAGTGATTATCTAGTAGACTCCAGTAAACTATCTTTAGAACAAGTACCTCAATGCTCGCAAGTCATATCCCAACTTAGTCTTCAAGCTCGCTTCGCCCCTTGCATCCGGCATGACAAGCGACAGCATTTCTCTTCCTCCTCCGTAGTACACTTCACCCCCTCGTTACAACAAACTCAATTGGAAACGTCACTTTGGTGCATGATACAGAGGTTTTCGTCGTTCCGATAGAGAGGTTCCTCCATCATACAGAGTAATCGGTCACAACGAGGTCCATCTTAACCAAGGGCAATTGCAATCCCACAACCAGCGCAAAAACCCCAGCCTACCGAAGCATCCAAAGATAATCCCCACGGAGACACACTTTCGCCAGACGACACATTCCAGAGCCAAGATACCCACCCCCAGAACTAGATATAGTGTAGTAGCAAACGCATTCCAGTGCCTGAGCCTTCTACCTTTGCCAGATCCAGTCCAATCATCTCTTCACCTTCCCAGAATACACTCCAATCACCCCTTTCTCTTTCCCAGACCCTACCCTATACTCCTCCATTACCTTCCGCATCCAAAAAAGAGTATATAAACCCACCTCTCACCCCACAAGAACGACGCCCCATCTAACTCAAAGACTCATCAATCCCGAACCCAACACACCATCTTACCCTCTCACATACCAACCCAACCCCCCAAAACCATCACCATGAAATTCCTCTCCTCCATCCTCCTCCTCAGCGGTCTCGCAGCAGCAACAGCAGCAACAGCACCATCCAACGCCCACCCCACCACGCTCGTCCAGAAGCCCGCCACCGCGGCGGCCAGTGCTTCCGGCGCTGGCGGCGCTGCCGCCGGAGGGAGCACGTATAACCACGTCGCGGTAAGGGAACAGCCCCGCCCCGCCCCGCCTGCTTATCTCTTTCCCCCAAGAACAACAGATTCCTGTTCTTAAGGCTGGTACTTGTATATAAGCAATGGGGCTTGCGATTCATTTTTACTGATGATGGTGAGCGATAGGACCCCAACGAGGGCCAGAAGCCCGCCACCGATGGCGGGGATCACGGTGCGACGGCGGTCGCGACCAGCGGCAAGGCTAATGCCAATGCCAATGGCAGTGCCGGTGCCGGTGCCAATGGTAATGGTAATGCCAACGCCAACGCCAATGGCAAGGGCAGCAGCAACGCGGGCAGCAGCAGCAACGCGAGCAGCGCCAAGGGCACCGGCAACAGCAACAACAAGGGCAACGGAAACGCTAACAGCAACTCGGGCAGCAACGCCCACAACGCCGCCGCGCCCTCGCATCAGCAGAAGGATCGCCGGGCATTGGATGAGGATGTCCAGGATCTCGTGATGGGGCTGATGGTGGAGGTGGTCGATGAGGGGGTGACGGAGGTGATGCAGGAGGGGCTGGAATAGACCAGCAAGATGATGGAAGATGGTGGTGGATACGAGTCATGGATTGGCCGTTTTGTTGTTGAGGTTGCAGATCGATTGTAGGGGATTTAGCTCAGCTGATCTATCAATATAATCAAGACTAAGTGAGGGGACCTGAAGCTCTGTTCCGGGTGGAGCGTTTGTAAGGTGGTTTGTTAATGATCATCGTACATGGAGACATTGCATTGCTCCGCTCCTCTAGAACATAGCGACCCGTGATATGGAAATGGACAAGGACCTCCCATATGACATAATATAGGTGACAAACCCCCGGGCTCAGTTATCGCCCAGCCCGTTCGCACATTGTTAAGACGAAATCAATTATCCAGCATCGGCAGCCCGCCCAAATCGTCAAATAGCCTCGCTATACCTTCAAAGGAACAATCGGGGAATCCGAAGCCGTAGGCCCATTCCTATACCCCATAGCTGTTAGCATGTATTCATGATAAGAAGAGCATCAGGGCGGTTCCAGGTACAAGGCTGAGAGACGAGGGAAAAGCTCACCGGAATGTCAAAACCAGTCCCACTGGGACTCGTATCCGCATACTCTCCGCCACTCCCACCACTCCAACTCCCACCACCACCACCACCGCTGCCACCGCCATCATGACTACTCGTCGAAGATGCCAGACTCTGCTGATTGAGCTGGTGCTGATGAAGGTGCTGCTGGTGCAGATGTGACAGCGACGAAGTGGACGATGGCAATGACCGGAATTCCCGGAGATAGTGTTTGATGATCTCGACGGACTTGCGGGCGACGATGGACTCGTCCATCGCCTCAAGGATCTCGACGCCCATCTCCACGGACCGCTGGAGCGGGACGGTCTCCGGGCACGGGCCCAATTTGGACATGGGGAGAAGGAGAGTGGAAGTCGCGAACATGACATACGTTGTGTTGTACCACCTATTACGCGGGGCATCAGCGTTAGGGCTCCGGCCTGGAAAACGGCCAAAGGAACAGTGAAAAGAACGTACCAACACCGGAAGAACTCATGGATGCGGTAAATATCGTAGATCACCTCAATGGTTTTCATGGCTGCATCGAGGCACTTGGCGATAGTCTGTTCAAGTTCCATGGGCGGGTGGCGGAGTTTGCGGGTGAAGTGGCTCAGGAAGGGCCGGAACAAAAGCATTTTGACATTGAAGTAGCCTTGTATGGTTTAAAACAATCAGCCACGTATATGACCCTACCGTCTCTCAAGGCACCCCCCATGTTGTTGCGGTAGACTTACGAATACCCAGGACTAGTCGTTGTCGACGCGCCCACTTAGGGTCTCTCAAGGCACCCCCGGTTGCCCGTTCCATCATGTCGGGCTTGAGACGGTCCGGTAAGCGCGCCATCCAGCGGTCGAGCTCAGTCTCAATCTGGAGAGCTAAGTGTAGCTTCTCTTGTAATGTGATTCGTGAGTGGTATATCTGCACGGAAACTCGGCGAATGATCTGCGCGAAGTCGACCATCCAAGGAATGATGGCATATTCAGAGTCGTCTCTTTCCGGCAGAGCTCGATTGTGGTATTCGTCCATGCCTAAGGTGTCTGGACGACCGACTGAGAAGCTCATCTCACTGGATGCGATTAGTGACCTACCTGGCAGAATTGATGGTAAAACTTACATTTCCAAGGAAAAGAGGCCCCTAGAAACATTAGATCTAGCAACATATCATGAGGCTACAAGACTTACCACCAAGTCTTCGAAATCCATCCAGCGCGATGATCGTCTGTGCTCCGCACCTCCCGATTGAAGCCAGCAGCCAGGCACGTACGCACGGCGAGCCCCAGATACATATAGGCCACTAACATAAAACATGAGTAATTTCCTCGCAACGGACAGAAACAACCAACTCACTGTTCGGGTTCAGTTCATTCTGACAAATTTTCGCCTATCCAAGTCAGCTGCGCGCGAAGAACCTAAACCCGTCAACGACTGCTTACCATAAGATACAGACACTGCACTGTGTCCAGCGTATTCGAGAAATGCAGGTAATTCAGATACATCTGGGCCTCGCCAAACAGTTTCCGGCTCCACTCGAACCTTGTCAACCCACCGAGCCTCTCCTCATCCCACACCCTCACCAAGGCCCCAAAGGAAAGAATGCTCAAATACAGAGCCACAAAGCTGGGTTCCGGCTGCACATTCCGGTTGAACCACAGATTATGCGCTCGCTGCAGGAAATCCTCCTTATCGATGAGCGGGTGGATGAAATGGATATTCTCAAAGTAGCCGTTGATAAACGCATGCGCCTGCTCGAAGTAATAGTTCTGCTCCTGCATCACCACCGGCTGTGCCGGGCCCGCCGTACACGAGGGTGAGAAGCTTGGGTTGTGCAGCGTCGAGACGATCGAGTACCCAGCGGCAGGCTTTTCAGCGCGGGAATGCTGCTGATTCTGCTGCTGCTGCTGCTGCTGCTGCCGCTGCTGCTCCTCGAGGCGTCGCTGTGGCTCCCGCGCCTTCTGCAGGTGTCCGAGCAGGGCCGCCGACGAGGTGCTACCGTGGAACTCGATGCCGTTGGTGTGGTGATTCAGTTCGCTGATTTCATCCCCGACCGAGTCCCCGGCCTCATCGTGGTGATCGTAGAGGGCCGGCGCTTCTTCCCGCGGAGTGGACTCGTTGCGCGGCAGGGATACGGGAGTTGCATCGATGGCAGCTTGGGGCACCACCGGTTGTTGGGCCGTTCCGGGACTTGCGAAGGTCGTTGGAATCACTCTCTGAGGTAGCTGCGATGTGATTTCTGACTCGGCCAAGCGTAGCTTGGTTGTGAGCTCGTCCACCTTTCGCTCTAGATCTGCGACATAGCTGATCCGCCCTTTAACAATGCAATCTACTCCAAACTGTGGCAACTGGGACTATTCTTACCTGGCAGACCGGCTACTCTCCCTCTGTCGGTAGTTTCCCTGATACACGCAAGTGAGGTCACTTTCTGCGACGAGGTTAGATACCTATATCTTCCCACGTGAATTAATACCACAACATACTTTTGCAGTGAGAGCAAGGATACTGTTCATCGCACTTGTACTTCTTAGATCTACACCTCTCACAGGCCTGGGCTGCGCGGGGTCGCTTTGCCCGGGGCAGAGGGAGATTCTCATCCCCGGCAGCCGGTGGTGCGGGAGATGGGCGAGCCTCAGGTTGCATCATCCATCTAGATTGCGCACGGCATTGGGGGCTGACAAAGAGCGAGAAAATCAACGAAGAAGAGGTGGAACTTGTGGTGATCAGAAAGTATTCGTTAAGAATCAAGGGTCAGCAGGGGAGATATGCAAAGGCAGCAAGTAAGTGTGCGCAGAGTTGGCAGTGAATGAAGTGTGACACGGATGATTCGATTAGTTAGTGGCGGATTGTTGGTTGAGGTGGAATCTGGCCAAAAACTCAGAAATGCGCCGGCTTTTCCGGCCATCACGTGGTCCCTTCGCCCCCGCGGGGTCCCCGCATCGCTCGGTTTTAATCTACCGACACGTGCCGCTCAATTTAGGCCAAAGAAAGAGTGATTGTAAGGATTTCATATATCTTAGTGGTCGTTCATATAATTTATGTACAGCAAATGATCTAATCCGAAAAACGCCAAGTCCAATGCAGCATGCGGAGGGGTGAGTGCGTACGCGTCTCATCCGCCCCACTACAGAACACACAGGCGTTCGTTCTCACAGTGCAATTTCCATGTTCAGGTCGGCCACCGCCGACTTGACGTCCGCCGCGTCCCATTCGCGCACTTCGTCTGGTAGCACCGCGCCTTCATATTGTTGGCCGACCCGGTGGATCAATGTCTCGATACCGTCGCCATCCGTGAACGACCAGACACGCACGAAGCGACTGGCAAACTTCAACGCGAATGCCTGTCCAGCAGGAATCACGGCCGTCTCCCCTTCGCGGAACTCGGTGTCGGGCTGCCCCTCGAGGCTGACGATCAGCGTGCCCTCCTGCACGCACAGACAGTGATCCACCGATTTGAAGGTCATGTACTTGGACAAAATGGTATCACCGTAGACTTTCGAGGATTCGATACTGGAGATAGCACAGACCCCGCTGCTCTGAGCAGTGGTGACGAACGGCCGGGACATCACCCCGCCAAACATCCATTTCGGCCCCGTGTTGGCCCGAAGGAAGTAGCCCTGGGGGCTCTCGGGCAGTACCTCCTCATCCTTCGTCCATTCTCCGAGCTCCGGAGGCTGGTAGTGGGGCTGGAACACCACGTCGAATTGTTCCTTCGCAGCCATCACCTTCGGGATCAGGATGGACTTGAGATCGCGGTCGTCGTGCTCCGGCACCAGCACTCCGTCGTAGCGCTCGGAAACATATCGGAAGAAGTCGACCCAGTCGCCGGGTGTGACCACTCCGTAGGTCTCGGTGTGTGGGCCCATCATCTCTGGGTTATGGATCACGGTCTAGAACATATGGGTCAGTTGCGGGTCGTAGATAGGAGAATGTTTTGAGAAGCCAAGGCGGCCTGCCGTGCAACGTACAGGAGGCACATAAGCGAAGTCTCCGGGCCCCATGATGCGGCACTTGTCGCCATTCCATAGTTTCAGGAACCCCTTGGTTACCAAGAAGACATCATGTGCATGGTTATGGTAGTGGAATCCAGGTGCATCCGAGAGAACAGCGCCACTCTGGAAGACCGACATCAAGCCATTGGTTTGCAGCGACGAGGCCAGGATGCGAAAGGAGCCCTTGCTGCCGGGAATGGTGATGCGCTCGCCTTCCAGCTGGGGAATTGCATAAGGAACCCTTCCCTTTGGGGGCTCATTGGTCCAGGACAGGGACATGATAAAGTCGTATGCGCGTGGATGGAACAGGGGTGGGAGAGGGTTGACCCGTGGAAAAGCTCAATGAAAGAAAGGGCGTGGCGAGGGAGGTGTAAAAAAAAGTTTTGTTGAGGGGTGACTGAAAGTTTCGCCGTGGGTGCCTCAGATATAAGGACGGCGGAGGGCGCGTCATCGGGAAGACTGTGGGGGCATTTGGGGCAAGTTTTCTCCATTCCCCCATACTACGAACTTTAAGCTACCCCTCGGATTTGCCGTGCACCTTGGGATGACCGGCTTTTCCGGTCGCTCTCCTCCTTCCCCGCAGTCAGATGACCTGAGAGAGTGCTCCTCCGGGGTATGATTGTCCCGCAATTCTTACGAGTTGGTAGAGAGAGTGCCGAGGTTGGTGTTGCGGGCAAGTCGGACGCAATGTATCGCAATTTGCTCTGCTCACTTCATTCAAGCCACGCCAACACAAGCTGTTCCGCATGAACAATCAATATTCGTACTTCGCATTGAATTCTCAATCGTGCAATATTATTGGATTATTCATCTGCATGCAAACAGTGAACACGAGACAGCCTAAGCGAAGAATGCGAAAAGCGTGGAGCAGAGCCCACATAATGAAGGGAATATAGGTGAAAAACGCCCGATGAAAAATCACAGGCTTTCCGCCGGGTATACATCACTGGCTTTGTGACTCCATTTCGCCAAATGGAAAAAGCTAATGGAAATAAGCCCCAAAAAATGGCGAAAGAACCAGGTGCAACATGAAGATCTCAGCGCACAAAGAGAAGCGAAGACAAAAAGGGCAGCCAGCACCCCAAAATTTCAGAATTCTTTTTCTTTCGGCACTTTGATCATAGGCCACGGGGCGTATTTGCTTTGGTTTCGATCCTCGCTCCTCCTGGGCCGTCGTCTCCATCTCCGAAGCGCCTCCAGGATCTGATCTGCCTAGCATCGTTTTGCGATGATAGGGAGGTAGAGGAGCTTCGGCTCAGGGACGCTAGGCTGGCAGGAGTAGATGACCCCGGGGTGGACATCGACACTGCAGTGGCGCCGGTAGCGCTTCGAGCTGCGGACACGGCAGCTGCTGGGTTACAATGAGTGCAGACGTATAGAACGAACCCATGGCCACTGCAGCTGTTGCAGATTGAACCTCTGTCGGCTGCGTTAGTGGTGACGACCAACAAGAAAAGCTTGTTTCGCTGGCGAAAAAACCGACCGTGGTGCATTCCCTGCGCAGCTACGGCAGGTCTTCACTGTCTGCCCACCGATGCACGAGTTGTGATCGGGGTCAAGGGGATGGATTGAGCCTGCCGAGTGAGACATCGTTTCTCTGACCGACAGGAATAATATACAACGAGCTCGAAAGCAGTGGATGAGCAGTTGAAAAGTCAATGAGGATTGCCCCCGGCTTAGAATACGTGCGAAGGTGTTGTGGTCAACTGAGACACTCGGTACAATGTTGTTTCAGATCTCGAAGTCGGATTTTCTCACTGAGGGGAAGCTTGATTTATCTGTCTTCCGTTAGGCATGGAACAATTCGAAACCAACTGGGGAAGAGATGCGAGAGAAAAAGCAAAAATACCAGTCTGCAGTCAAGCCAGGCTGCTCCCTGCCCGGTGCGAATGGCAACCTCTCTGTAGATAGAAATCGTAAGACCTACTTGACCATAGATTGTGCGACCAGCTTGCGAGTCAACGGATCTCGTATCGGCAGCACCGAATCAACTTCCAGTAATCGCCTCCGAAGTAGATTGCCAGCGTGAGCCTTCGGTCACATCTAGCGATTTTTTTTCGGAGAGCCGCTCCAATGACATGAACGGTCAGTGCGGCCTGGTTCAAGGATCACAAAGCGTCCGCATACGCAGTCCCCAGCGACTAGCCTGGGGGCCAGTCGATGCCTATCAGACACGCGGGTATGCTTTTCTTCCGGTGATTCATGAAGACGACGGCCGAATGAGAGCCTTGTAGATGCCTTGGACCCGTGGGACCGGACCCAGTACATGATCGTTGCGGCGGCCATTGATAAACGGCCCAGCTGCCTACATGTGAGGCTTGCTCGTGCGTATCAGAGAATGCTGATCGCTTCGTCTATCTTGGTACGGTATGGAGGGGGAGGGGGGGACGGATCGAACCGACAAAGAGAAGCAAGTGAAATTAGGAGAAGTGATAAAGCGTGCATAGTGCGGTTAAATCAGAAAGAGGAAAAAGAAAACATGGGTTGGTGAAGGTGGTGGATTTGGTGGGTGTGATGGAGACCAAATAGGACAAATAGCCGGGAACAAGACAAGAAGCATGGCAGCCACGGAGAGTTGTGCTACCTCACTGGCTCAGAATAATGAGTAATATTGGGAAGCATAACTACCCGATTGTCTGCTATTGATTTGAGATAAACAGATAAACAGATAAAAAAAAGATAAAGGCGGGCTCACAGTGGACTTGGAGACGGATAGGTGCAGCCCGTCTGACTGGGGCGCCATCTCATCAGTAACAGCCATCGGAGTTCAAGATGACACAAGACAGCGATTCTAGATGGATTCTAGCCGAGTAGTAGTTAGTGACACCAGATTACTAACCTCTGAGAACCCCGAGTGAACTCAAGGCGGCTTTTCTCCCCTCTTGGAACGGGTCCGAGGGTGTCGTATGCATGGAGCTTGCATATTCGCTAAAAGGCAAACCAATCATTGCAGACCACTTCAATCGGCCCCGGGGTAGACTGCACTCTCAAGGTCAAATCCCGTTACATGTGAGAGCTACACATTCTTCTCTCCAATGTCAAAGCTTGCTGCTTGCTGCTTGCTGCCTTAGATAATTAGTGGATATCCACACAGGTGACCAAACAACGAGTGCGGCGTTAACGGGGCAGCCATCACTCCTGCACCCCGATAGCAATCTCCGTTCACGAGAGGAAGGAATCACGATGGAGCTACACATCCTCGGAAATCATGGCACAGTGCTCTTCATCGAACAGAATACCACAGCAACCCCACAGTAGAGTTTGAGCCGCAGAGAGTTTGGCCAAGGCAATAGTTCTCTGATATAGCCGGGATACTCGACCCGTGGCCATAGCGGGGGAGAGAAACGGAACGGCGTAGGGTAATGTGGTCATCAGATGATCTGATAGTACTGTACCTAGTAGGTTGCGACACGGTTGTATCTCATGTCGGGAGGTTAATTCCCTGGGCCTGCAAGTATCCGATCGCACAATGAGGCCTGGAGAATCAATCGCGAAATAACCGCTGCAATCGCTGCTCTACTCATTAGTCAGTGCCTAAGGCACTTTTTCTTTTTACCCCCGGGCGAACCAATCCTCTTTCCCCCCAAATTGTCGACCAATGACGTGTTAATTCAGCCTGGCTGGGGAGATTACGTATCTGCGGATTGGTCACATGTTCTGTGGCATCCTTGATCATGATATGAAACAGGACCATGTTGAGAAAAGAACGGTATGACGCAGCAAGTGACGAGCTTGGCAAATCCATGTTGTCTTAGGTCAATCTGTTCCTCCGAAGAAGGGAATCGATGAGGACGCTGGAACAGCAAGTGACTTGGAAGAAGCATGGGCCAAGGATGCGAAAAGGGAGCGCCAAAGCGCCGTAGAAATAGTCACATCGGGACGATAAATTGACAGCGTTTGTCATCGATCCAGCACCGCCCATGTGGGGACCATAAGCTCCATGCTACGTAGACTTTTCATTCGAAGCGGTCCACAGGAAAAAAAGAATGTGGCTTGCATAGTAGACAGCAATCGGGGATGGTGATAGGCTTGTCTAGTAGGGAAGAAATGGTTAGCGGCATGCAAGTACCCGACAGGAATCACGCGCTGGCCTTGGATCTGACTTGAACCAGGGGATCATTCATCATAGCCATTGTTATCTAGGCTGGCTCAAGGCAAGACAGTCAGTTGTAATATTTGGATGTCGCTTCATCGAAGGGGAAGCGAAAGTAGGCCAGGGGAGTGAAGCAGAATCCAGCTAGCCTCGAAAGTGCTGCGGGAGTTGATGATGTTGCTGGGCCGAGAGTTGCACAAAGCGAGATTCAGCCGCTCCAGTCGGAGGAAGAAACAAATGCGCAATCAGCTGACTTTGGCCCAAGTGTTCCGACAAGCCGGACGCTAGACAACTACCCATGTCTGCAATTCCGTGCGAACTTGGAAGGTGATATCGAGGTCAAATAAGGGCAGCAGTGCGAGAACAAGGCAACTTGATGATCTCTGGTCCCTCAGGCTAGGAGTAAGGCATGTTTCAGCCCCAATCTACATGTCTATTCAATCCATTTGGGACCAAGGGCGGCCGCGGAGCCGTCATTCTATACGTTTGCAAGGAATAACTATGCGTTGCTTCTTGATTATTAAGGGTATTTAGGGGCCTCATGGTGTACCGCCAGGCTCTTGGCTTCGAAGAAGCAGCTCCACAGCTAGCCGTACTCGGTGGGCTCCCCAAGTTGATAGAGCTTGAATTGAATTGAATTAAATTGAAGGAATTTAGTTGGCTTGACCTCCAGAGGGTCACACGGAATAGCCATCCATCATGACAAAAGAAGACTGGCTTGGATTATCTGCCGAAGCACTAGTTACATTCGGCTCAGGGTAAATAGGTAGTTATGACTGTAACCTGGCGTTAATCAGTTGAAAAGCAAAGCAAAGAACAAAAAATGAGTATGGCCCTGAGCAACAAGAAGTTCAGCCGAAAACAAGCTAGGATGACCGGATAATCCAGTCTCGATTCGAGAATGCCGACAACGCCACACACTGTAATTCGTAAGCGTTTAAGGAAATCATCAATCCGTTTCATGTTACCAAAATAAAAGCACCAAGCCCTCCGCAGCACCTCAGGGACTACTCATTGAGGTCCGTGACGATTGTCATTGGTGTCTTGATCAATAACTTGACATCTGCCGGTTTTATCTCATCCTTTGAGTGTTGTTTGCTAATGAACCTCAGATCATTCCTGGATAGGAAGCGTTGAAAGGGAGACAGAAGGCGGTAGATCGATGGCAGTGGCAAGAAGCGACAATCGTAACGCACAGAACCGAGAAGCTCATTCATAAAAGTAGTCGGGAGGAAGCGAGGCCAACGTGACAATAGTACCGAGAGCACCTATCGCAACTCCCAGGGCAGCAGTAGCAGCATGGCTGGCGAAGCTCCGGGCAGCTGACTTCTTTGCTCGTTTGAGAGGTCGTTCGGAGCTGGTAGGAACATTGGGAGTTTGACTGGCGGGTGTAGACTCATTTGTAGGGACCAGGTCTGGGAGAGAACGCGGAATAATATCTTGCTTTTCCGATGGCTTCCTTGGCTGAGCCTCAAGTGAGTCTGTCTCGTTGTGACCACAATCCAAAACCTGTATTTCCCGCGATGGATTGGTCAGGGGTTCTTCAATAGCCTCTGCCTTCCTTTTCAATGGCCTTGATTCTTGTACGTTGGAACCGGGATCTTGCGGGGGAATGGCACTCTGCGATGGCGGCAACTGTGATGTGCTCGGCTGCTCTGAGACCACGGCAGTTCTCCAGATATCTTGCTCGCTCGGCTCAACGTCCTTGCTCACTGGGAAAGCTGTGGCCGGGTTGGCGACAGTAGGTTCGGTGGTTTCGCAAGTAGTTGCAGTACTATTTGCCGCAGTAAGCTCATTGGCAAAGGGGCCATCAGAATAGGTCACCTTTGGGAGAGCTGGGACAGGAAGCGGATACACACTCCCAGGATGCCAATCGACAGGAGACGCCAGAGGATTCTGCTGGAGTCCAATGAGAGAATTAGGGAGAAATCTGTTCTGTGTTTGTTGACACAACAGGGACAACGGCAGCATATTTGATGACTGTGGCGCTTGGATAGGAAAGATTTCGCTTGGTTTTACATTGTGAGAGATTGATTGTGAGGAAGTATGCTCAATGACAGGCAAGTCGGACGGGATAGCCTTGGGTAAAATGGGTGACACCTCATTTCCCTTTTCGTCATCGAAGCGAGGCTCGGCAACCCCAGAATTCGGTCGATGAGCTGCTCCCTCGAAGTCGAAGGAGGAATCGGACGCTATCAGATCACGAATACCGAGGACCTGAGAAGTCTTCATAGTCTTATAATCGTCAAAGACGCATGAGTCTTCTTCCATGTCGGAGTCCAAAGAGCACTGCGAGTGTATCTCCTCTTCGTCGCCGTAGGAAACATCATCATCATCATCATCCTCCTCCCAGTCCGAACTCCCTTCAGGAGTGGATTCTAGAGAGGACTCGAGACCAGTTTCTTCCACAAAGACATCCAGATGAGCAACTCCCTCGCCAGGCTCCTCATCGAGGGTACTTATCGCCGCTGGTGGGGTCATCCGCGGAGTCACCAAAGGCTGTTCAGCCGGATCACAGTCGAGGTTAATGGGACTATCTTGGGATCCGTGGCGAGCAGCACAGTCACTGTTATCAAGCATGTTGACAGATGAATAAAGGGTAATGTTCGGTGAATCCTTCTTCAAAGGTGAGGTAAAAGGTGATGAGACCTCCACAACCGACTGATCATCAAAGTCAGAGCGGAATATAGAGTCTTCCTCATCAGAGCTTGCAGCCGGACATACCACCGGAGCATTATCAGTTTCGACGTCATTGTCATCGTCATCATCAGGTACACAGAACGTATTCATGGGTGTAGGCTTATGAAGCCAGTCAAGTTCACAACGTACTTGTACCGGTGGGAACGTATCTAGATGCCGACGATGAGTTAGTTGCGCCGAATGAAAGTGCCAGAGCAATTTGTTGACCTGTGCGAGGCCACTCACCTTTACCACGAATCACTTCTGTGCCAAATGTGATAAGATCCCCTTGACTGAGCGGGTGTTCCTCCTCGCTGGCGAGTTTCTTTCCGTTTACGTAGGTACCGTGCATTGATCCACCATCTCGAAGATAGGCGAGCTAGTCAAATAATCATTAGCGAAGGCTGCCCAGGTGCTAATACAGATGCTCAGGAGGCGCATGCTCAAGAGACGCACACTCGAGAGACACACGCTCGAGAGATGCATGCTTTCCATACAAGATGCAACCGAACAAAGAGACGCATACCTTCTTATCCAGACGTACTATCAGTTGGGCATGGTTTCTTGACATGACTCGCGAATCGAATAGCCCATTATCCTTGCAGGGAACGAGGTTCTTGGACTCCCGCTTTGACGCTCGCCCGATACATACATCGGTAGTATCAGGTGTAAACTTGAGAGATCGGCATGGGAACTCATCGATCGGAGTCAGCGGACGAAGGTTAACAACAACAGCTATGATACCGATAAGTCAGCCATGGAGTTCTCGTTTCTGGGGTGTTCCGGATCTCGTTGAGATCCGAGCTCGGCGAGGTTACGGAAGGTGGATTGTGTGAGCTTGACTAATGTGCCGGGGAAGGAGTAAGCCAGTCCAGGTAAACACATACCTTCTGAGACGAGCATGATGTCAGTTTTCTAGAGCCGATCGCTCTCAGCGCTATCGATCATTCAGCCTAGATAAATGTAGTCCTAGTGGCTGTGTTAAGATCGGGTTGTGAGAGAGGAGGAGGATGATGATGATGAGACAAAGATGGGTTGAAAGACGGGAGACTCGAGTAGGTTGAAGAGGGGCAGCAGCAGGCCACCACCTACCCGATGTAATCAGCAGCCCGAGGACAGTCAAAAGGCGGTCGCCGTGAAGGGAGGAAATATGGATCTGACACCACGGGATGATCGGGCTGAAACAATCAAGTACACACCAAGCTTCAAGGAGATGTAGGCGGCGAGCTTGGTGGGAATTCGAGAATACTGATGTAGTTCGTTTGATGAGGTAGGGAAGGGGGAAACCGAGGAGGGGGGGGTGTAGGAGAGGGGAAGGAGAGCGATGAAGGCAAAGAAAAGAGAAGCCCAGACAGCTAGTACAGGACCAACAATGAAAGATCAAAGCAGTCCGGTATTTGACGGACCGGAATACCAGGACCAGCAGTTTAGAAACAAGTGGTGAACCAGCACAGCATCGAAGTACTCACTCAGTAGTACTGTATTGAACAACAACGACGACGATAAGTTGAATGGATAATGACGGGAGAGATGGAGAGGGGCGATCACTGATAGGCGGATAAGTGGGGGCTTCCCGTCAGGTGGACGAAAGAACAGTCATAGTGAGGGACTAGTGAGGGAATTCCGGGGCTTATCCGGGAGTCGGGACCACCTCCCGCCGCCCGCACCTTTACAACATCTTGAGGGGGAATCTTCTTACATTGGGAATCACATCAGGAATTATTACAGTTTTCAGCGGCCGAAAGTATTGCTACTTACTTGTAGTATAGTTGTGTTCAATCATGAGTAGTCATGATTATTGATTTCAGATCTGCTAAGTTTACTTCAATATTGTGGGTGTTATTTACTCGAAAACGTTAGATTATTACTGATTAGAAGTCATATAAGAGAGGTGAAGACAGTGGATTAATAACGGTGGTACAAAATCAATCATTATTCAGAACTACACTGAATCTTAGGACTCCATATTAGGAAGTCTTTTTCTATTCCTCTTGTTATTCTTGTCAGTATGTAATTGTGCAGAAGATAAAAGTTTCATAAGGCATACCGCCTACTATACAAGGTTTGGATCCGGTAGCTTTAGGATTACAACCGTTGTCAATAGCAATTATCGGCCCCTTCTACGGACTATCGTGTATACCAAAATATCCCTTCGACCTCCTACGAATCACACGACGATAACAAGAATACTCATGACAACTTAGTGACATCCTTCGTCCTTTTCTTCATCACCTTCTTCTTCCTGCTGCTACTCCTGCCTCTTGCACAGTACTATTATACATTGTCGTACACTTCTCACCCGCCTCCCTTACGACAGTCGTCCAGCCGCAGTATCGACACGCAGCCATACCAGTTATACCCCCCCACTGCAGAACATTTCAAAGCACGGCATCTTTCAGGCCATTCTTTCTTGACAAAGAGCCCGGTGCGCAACCAGACATTCATAGGGAATAGGAAACCCGCCTCGATACGAGGAACATCCTTTAATGACACACGATTGCAAAGTAAGGAAGAGCAGCACCCAACAAAAGAGATCCATACACAGTATATCAGTGGGGAGAAAGATTAACACAAGTCGTAGAATAAATACACGCAGTGGATGAGTGGTCCAGGCGCCCTAAAAACACCCTCAAAAAACCAGGGTAGAAGATGACACAACCAGGCACGGATATTGCCTACAACACTCGGTGGATCGGAAAAAGTTGATAACGACGGTGAGGGGAGGTGGAGGAGGACGATTAAGTCGAGATCATATCATAGGTCGGGTTTACAGACCGGGGGCACCGAAGCCACCTCCGGCACTCATGCCCTGCAAACGGGCAGCAAGTTGGGGGTACTTCTCTTGCACCTCCAGCTGCGTGCGAGTGGCCTCGGCGTAGGAGATAGCGTTGATGATCTCGGCCTCCGTACGAGCGAGTTCGGCAGCGCGCTCGAAGTACTTGAGGGCTTGGGAGACCTTGCCCTGCTGCAACAGCAGCTGGGCCATGGTACCCACAGCAATGTCGCACTCGGGGTCAACTGTCATGGAGTTAGTATCGAGGTGGGCGCAGCGCATTATGGTCTACCGTGGCACTTACTAATCAGGGCCTTCTGGCAGAGGTTCTCGGCCTCCTGGAAGTCATGCTTCCACTGGAACAGCGCAAGGGCCTTGTTGATGAGGGGCAGAACATTGATGCCCATGGGCTTGCTCTGCTTCTCCATCTCGACGGCCTTGTCGAACTTCTCGATGGCCTCTTGGAAGTTCTGCTGGTCAAGGAGAAGTTCACCGTAGTAGTTGTAGACATCCGGAACATCCTCGAAGTTCTTCACGGATCTGCGGAAGGTGGCCATGGCGGAAGCGACAGATCCCATCTTGTACTGAGTGACACCAAGCTGGATGTGCGAGTAGATAAAGGTACGGTCGAGATCGATGGACTTCTGGTAATCTTTAGCGGCCTCTGCGAACTCACCAAGGATGAAGTGGAGCTGGGCGCGGTGGTAGTAGATATCAGGGTCGTCTTTGTTGTGGGTAATGGCAAGTTCGAAGTCATCGGCGGCAGCATCCTTGTTTCCTGTATAACGTTATTAGACATGCAAATGGGGAGAGCCTTAGTTGTATTCACGTACCGAGTTCCAGGTGCAAGCTGGCACGCTTGATGTAGCTCTGCACCAGAGAGGGCTGCAGCTCAACACTCTTGTTTAGGTCCAGCAGCGCAGCCTGGGCATTGCCGACCAGGTAAGTGAAAGTAGCTCTCATGTTGAGGGCCAAGGCTTCGAAGTCACCGAGATCACCAACCTCGAGGGCTTTCTCAAAGGATGTGGCAGCCTCCTCGTAGCCATCCCCAGTCTTCTTGGCCATGGCAATCAGACCCTTGCGCAGAAGGCCCTTACCAGACTCTTCGCTCAGGTCGGCGGACTCGTCGAGACCTTCCGGAAGAGGCCTGGGGCGGAAGCTCTGAAGGTAGTTGGACACGAAAGTGGGGCTAGGCAGCTTCTTGCCCTTGGCCTCGAGGATATCCTTGCCCTTCTTCTCAGCAACCTTCTTCAGGAGTCTCTCGAGGGCGACGCGGCTGATCTCGTTGGAGAAACCGTCGATAATGCAGCTGGCGGTGAAGTCGAGAAGAGCCTCGCTGTACTGCTCGAGGTGCTCATATGCGATAGCGCGGCGGTTCAGGGCCTTGACATATTCGCTGTCCATGGCGAGAGCGGCGCTGGTGTCCTCGACGACCTTCTCCCATTCGGACAAAACGTTGTAGCAGGCAGCACGGTTGGAGTAAAAGACGGGGTCGGGCTTGCAAATGATGGCCTTGCCGTACAGTTCAATGGCCCGGTTGTAGTCCTTGGAGCCATATGCCTTGTTTCCAGCAGCCTTCAGTTTGGCAGCGTAGGCCTTTCTTGTCTGCAAATTTGAGGGGGACACAATCAGCAAGAGTATTCAACCACCATTTACCATAAAGGATAATCGCGCACCTCCTCGGACAACTGCTCAACAGTAGTCTCGTCAACCTCAGGAATCTCATCGGAAGGCTCTTCTGTCTTCTTGTCGGCCGGTTCTGCGAGGTCATCATTAGCCCGTACTTCGAGGGTCGACCGAGATCGGAGGATGCAACTAGACTGAACATACCCTCCTGGACAGAGGCAGCCTTGGCCTTCTTTTCCTCCTCGGCCTTCTTCTTCTCCTTCCGTCTCTGATTCTTGCTCTTCTTCTTTTCTGTGGGGGCGGCAGTCGTGGTAGGGCGACCGGAATCGGAGAGGTAGTAGACGACACCCGCACTAGTTACAACCACAGCGACACCGGCGATGGTGTAGACCAGAGCCTTGTTCTCCGACACCCATTTTGAGATGCGATCCCATACTGATGCTGAGGAAGAGGCGGGAAGGGAAGTGGTGTCGAGAACCACGTTCTTCGTTGGCTGGGGCAATGGTGATGCGCTCGACATGATGACCCGGCAGAGGAACCCGTTATCTTAGTCTGGTCTCTTTTTATCTATAATTCTGGGAAGGGGAAGTTAGCGCTGGAGACAGCGGTCAGATAAGAGTTCAATAGCGAGAGGGACGGACCGTCCTGGGTGCAGGGCAAGAGCTCGTCGGCAGGATGACTGCTTTGCTTCGTTGGGGAGGAGGGTGGAGATGGAAAAGAGCGAGGAGAGAGAGAGAGAGATGATGCGGTTTGAAAAGTTATGCGTTGCGATGTTCCGGCGACGCAGCGGGCTTCCCGAGCTCCTATGGGCCAATCACGCTCGCAGCAAGGGGATGCTCCGTCAGCTCCTGGTTCGCTCCACCACCACATCTTCGTCATTCTCTTCTTCCTTGTTCGAGCGCAAATTGCTCCCAGGAAAGCTCCTGGTCTCACCAGACACTGATTGTTCTACCTGTGCTAAAAAATATTTATCATCACAGCAACACTAAACTTCCGTTCATAGCCAGAGCTACTAACAGTGCAGGATCTGGCGGAAGTGGTGGACCACGCGATCGATCAGGTCACCCCAGGGATGCAGTCAATGGCTTCCGCCTCGCTGGAAGGAGACTTCCAAATCATATCGTCTCTGCGCTATGATCCTGCGCTTCGAAGCTTGAGCACTGAGAAAGCCAAGGACAAACATTTCCACCCTTCCAGCACGCCATACTACCTGCTTCCCTACCATCAGGCACGGCTTCGTAATGCGGCAGAATGCTTCGGTTGGAAGGAGGCTCTGTCATTTCTACAAAAAGATCTCACCCAACTCTCTGAATACCTTGATGCTCACATCTTGGACAAGACGAGACCTTGGCGCATTCGGATTGTCATCGAACGCACAGGAGCTTGCACTGTCGAGGTCAACCCGACAGCATCGATTGACCCATTGAACATGCTCATCCCCAATCGAGAACATACACAATCAAACCTATGGAATATCTATGTGGATACAGGGTATATAACTCCGTCCGCGTTCACGAGGCACAAGACTACCGCTCGCGATTTCTACAATGCTGCACGGGTCAGAGCGGGGATCATGTCCCCGTTAGACCAGGCTGAGGTACTGCTTGTAAATCCCGAGGGTCAAGTTATGGAAGGGAGCATCACCACACCCTACTTCCGGCGCAGGCGACCCGTAAGTAAGGGCGAGAGCCTAGAGAGTGATACTGAGCCAGACTGGGTCACGCCTCTCCTCTCAAGTGGTGGTAATGCAGGCACAACAAGGCAATATGCCTTGGCTGAAGGGTTCTGTGCAGAGGAGATTATCGAAGTTGCTGAATTGATCGATGGCGAAGTGTGTTGGCTCAGTAACGGTGTCCGGGGCTTCATCCGTGGTAGAATTGTCTTGAATAGACGATGATGGGCAGTCCTAGAATCACACAATCGTCGAGAATGTCCACATATGAGCAAAATAATTTGCAGATGTGAAACTCAATTGGTCTATCCAAAGAACTGCAAATAGAACCGTTTCCATGCTGCGCTATAGTGCAGCCACGAATACTTTAGGGTGCAATTCCTTCGCGAGGCCAGTATCTTGGGTCAAGGGAGGCATCATATACAATTGAAGAGAGGAGGTAGATGGGTCACAGTGCCAGCGGCTTTCGAGTACAGCGTACTTAGCGTTCCGGGTATATACTGTACATTTGGGTTAAACGAGGTATTGATGCAGTCCATCATGGATGGTTCTTTGCATCCAATAAGGAGTTCGTAATTGACGTCAGCCGCTGCACCAGTCGTATGAGGGCTTTGAACGTGTCTCCCAATCAACACCTGGCACCTGATAGCGTAGAACACAGATGCAGCTCGAGACGCTGAGGGGGGTGTAAGTCTCGCCATTTTCATAGGCAAATCGCACGGTCGCAATACGCCAGCACCGGCTGTGTGATTGGCTGGGCAAGGCGGGAGAATCAGATGATGCAACGATTGACGGTGCGCGGGCAGATGAGTCAGCATCCCCGCATTCTAAAAAAGGCTTAGCTTAGAAGCTGACAGAAATTCTTCCCAGTCCCGGAGGTTCGGGCAGTTTTGTCCGGCCACTGCGAAAGGTGATTGAGCAGAATGGAGAGCTGATCATCCCCAAAACCTTACTGATTGTGTTGGAACTTAACAAGCAGTCTCGCCCACAACCACAACGCCACCCCCAGCCCAACTCCCACAATTCACAATCCCATATATCCATCCCATCCATCAGTCGAACTTATCATATCATCTCTCAGATCAAATTCACCCCTCAATCAATTCGTCTGTATGCATCAGCAGCTGCAAGAATGAAATTCTTCGAGAATGTCTCTACATACGACTACTCCTTCCCAGCCGTGTCGCTGGCTTACTTCCTCCGCTATCCTAACCCGTACTCTCGCCATGTTCTAACCACTGATGTCATTGACCGTTATGTCGACCCGGACACGAAACGCCTCCACACCATTCGTCTGCACCTCAAGAAGTCTAAGGTACCGTCGGGGATTCTGAAGTTGCTGCCAAAGGGAATGGGCGGCTCGGACAGTTCCGGACAGAGCTACATCCTCGAAACGACCATCGTTGACGTCAATGAAGGCTGGATGAGGACTGAGTCGCGCAACATGGAGTGGACCGGGATCCTGAGTGTGGTGGAAAAGCAATTCTACCAACGTCAGCCGCTGGAGGGGGCTCTCGACCGACTTCAAGGGCTTCACCTCGACGCCAAGTTGAGCGAACAGACAACAGTCAAGACAACGGTCACGTTCCACTCCCGATTCGGGCAAGGAAAGTTACTTGGCCGGAGAAAGGCAGAAGCCGGTGATCAAGTGGTCGAGGTCGAGGATGAGGCTCCCAAGAGAGGCTTCTTCACGTCACTATCCACGGCAGGCATCCAGCGCACGATTGAGCTAATTGGCTTGAATCGTACCCGTGACGCTATCCTCAAGAGTAAACAAGGCATGAATGTCGTCCTGGAACGTCTGCGCAGCGGTGGTATTGTCGGTGTCCTCGAGGGCATGCGCCAGGATCGGGAAGCCATTGTCGGGCCGGAGGGTCCGTGGAAGCGCGTTTGGCTCAGAGGTAACGGGGAAGATGATGAACATTGACTTCGAAGCGTCTGAGTGTTGGGTGAAGACGATTCGCTTCCAAGAAACATATTTTCGACATTCCAGCGTGGAGCTATGGCGTTTGGGTTTCTGTTTGTATTTTCTTACTGATATCGACTACCAGGACACTCTCCCACATGATTATTTTTTGCACCAGCATATTCGAGCACGTTTTTGGAAGGGAAAAGAACACGGAAAGCACACGGGAAAAAGTGCTGTGTATACTAGGAAATGATTACACCAGAGACATTCTGTACAATATTGATAAACTTTGAGTCATTCTTCGCGCTCAGCTCCAGGTCGAACTAACTGTACATGAGTAGTTCTACGCATTTGACAAGGCCCCCAGGAACCGCCCACCGCATGGCCCTTTACCCAGCAGCATCTGGACGCTCGTCGATCTCCAACTAGACTTTCTGACGGAGTTGCCAGGCTGCTTACTTACTGTCTACCTCGGTGGTCCTTGACTAGTTCCGCAGATAGCCTCACGTAGCATAATCCAAGCATCTTCCACCTCTCTCGCGGGGCGTCATCTCTTTCCACCCCCCATTCGAAGGGTGAGCGAGAACTGTTATTGAAGCTGACCTACTACTTAATCCAGCTCGGGTCACTCACTCGAGCCACAGTATGCCGTGATGATTACGAAGCATGAACCGACCGCCAAACCATCGAGTCAATCCAGCCTCGATCAGCTTTACTTCCCAGTCCCTACTTTCCTATGCAGGCCATCTGATAGGTGACAGGATCCAGGTTCCTTTAGAGCGAACAATCCGCTAGATCAGTGTCTTGATATTCTTGTGGCCGAGCGGTGCAACGCTCTCATCACCATCCACCCCAGCAACAGCAGCCCAATTCTCAATCGGAGTCCGGAGTATAGCAGCGGACTGCCCAACATGAAGCATAACCACTCGTGTAACATACAGCCCACCCCAGTATGATGATGAACAGTACACCCACTCGATACCCACCACCCACCCTCAGTATAAACCGCCCCCCCCCCCTGCCCTCAACTTTACGGAAACAAGCACAGTCCTCTCACCAAAACCCAAGCCCACATCAATCACCTACAACTCAGAGCCCAATGCCCCCAACAATCGACAACCTAACCGGCAGCTGGACCCTAGCAAGTGCCCATTCCCCTTTTCCTCCCCAACTCCTAACCAGATATCTGCCCTTGAAACTAACCAACTAACCCCCCCGGAACCCTCCACGGAGAGCACGGGGGGAAGTAACCGAATCACCAGGACAAATCCCTCTCCAGCGATCTAGAACCAATCCTCAAACTAGTACGCAACCTCTGAATCCCAAAGCAAAGCCACAACCCTGACCCCACGGGGTAAAAAAAAATAAAGCAAGGCATCCCCTGGCTCCTCCGCAAGACCATCCTCTACACCCCGCTCACCATCCAAATCACCCACACCACTACCACAAACAACGCGGACGGTAGCAAAACAATCCACCTCACCGCCCGCCAAACCAGCATCAAAGCCGCCAGCCCGCCACCGGATATCCGGCACTTCGACTGGGAGGTCTATTCGCAGGAGAATTTTTTGTTCGGAGGGATTGTGTGTCGGAATCGGTTTATCAGGGGAGATTCCTCGGTAGCTGTCCTCACGGACGCAGGGGGAAGTGATGGTGGTGGTGATGATGGGGTGGTTAGGCCTGCAGTGGAGGTGCAGAGTATGCTGAAAGATGATGGGGATCAGGCGGTTGTGAGGAGATTCTTGCGGGGGGAGGTGGAGGTCGATGGATGCACGCTCTCGGCGGGGTTCCTTGTGGAGGGGCCTGTGGTTAGGGGGTTGTTTGGGGAGAATGGAAGGGAGAAAGGTCAGGGCGACGGGGTGATGGGGATTTGGGGGCATGTTTTTGATCGGAAGAAGGGTGGAGGGTGGTGCTCTGAGCAGGTATGTTTGATTTTATGTTCCCTTATCTCTGAGGGTACAGCTCTGCGGCGTGGAAGACGATGGGGCTGAGGACTCATGGCTGATGGTTGTGGGGGATAGGTTTGGGGGTTTGAGATGATACATGGCGAGAGGTTGTATTCCCGCCGGGCTGTGCTGACCGACAACACTGGGAGGTACAGGCTGGCGCGGTTGATTTATAGGCTGGTTGAGAGCTGAGTGCTTTGCATATAAAGCATAACGTTATAGGCTCAGGTCTTATGGTTGAAGGTGGTGGTAGGTGAGGTGGTAATGGTGGTGCTGGTTGTGGCTGCACTGACTGTCGGCGCTCCTGGCGTCTGGGGAGTATTGTCTTGAGATCGCGATGTAGGAAGTGTACACAAGGCGAGATTTTACAACGTCGTTCTCTCTAAGCCTGAGATGCTCGGTTAGATGAATCCTAGCTTGTCATGGTTCTCTTGCAACAATTGCCCTTGCACGTGACCGTGTTGAGCAGAATGCCTGCCTTTATTGTGACGCCAAGGTAGTTTATTATTTACGTGACAGAACCAAAGGAAGGAACTTGGTGCCTACAGGCAGCCATTCATGAAACTGTCACCGAGGCCTTAGTTAAACATATTACGAAACACCTTCCGATCAGTTCCGTCTGCTGTACCTAGTTACCACATTCTCCCTAGCCAAGGGATACCGAGACGATACCTAGAGCATCAGCTGCATACTCCCAAGGAGCAAACCAACGAATCAACTACTAGTTGGGAGGTGAAAGCAACCATCTTCTTTCACAATGGATACAGCGCAGCTCTCGCAATTGAGCCGGAACCTGAGATCTCTCCCTATACCCACTACGACCGATGATCTCGAGGAGACGTTGAAGAAGCTGCAAGACCTCGCCGAAGTGGTCACGCAGGGCAATAGTCTAGCATTGTTCACCGGGCTGAAGCTTGTCGCGCTACCCACCCGAGATCCGGAAACCCTGGCCAAGGAACAGATGTCACCCAACGAGATCCTCCTCTATGAGGCATGGAAGGCAAGGAAAACAAATCCCAACGTCGAGGGAAGCCTGCTCCCAAGCTTCGATTGGATCGCGAATGTGGCGCCGGTCCCTCAAGGCGCGCATAGTCTAAAGAAGCTCACGAAGCGGGCGGCGGCCATGGATGTGGTCTTCGATCATCAGGGCGCTACGCCGGAGAACGCTGCATGGCTGACCTCGCGTATGCCGGCAACATTGCCCCTGGTGAAGGCGGTAGCCAGGATTTCCCATTGCAAGCAAAGTCTCGAGCAGCAGAGCCAGGCGCACTTTCGCGGACTGTCCGACATGGAGGCCGCGGAGGTTGAGACTATCCGCAAGATTGTGGCCGTGGCAGAGGCCAACACAAATCGCGAGCTGGAAAGGATGCGCCGATTGGCTCGGTCGATCAAAGAGTCTGCGTCGATCATCAAGTCCCGCGCAGAGGCTCTGCAGGAATCTCGAGACCCTGTCTCAGCTTTACATGAATAAGACTGAATGAGTCTGCTCTCGAGAGATCATGATGAATTATGAATTATAAAGGGGAGGAGCAGACGCGGGTGGTCGGGAGAGCTTTGATAAGGGCTTGATAAGGTGAAAGGGAGAAACATCGATAGAGATCAGTGGGTGGACACGTCAAATCGAGACTCGTACTCCGTAAGTAGCTATCATCAGGGGAATAGCAAAAATCAGTGCAGTACATATTGAATCTACAGGACGATACACATCCAATGCCCTCGGATCGATGTTTTGGCCAATGACGCAAGGCTCAAAGCACTCATACAGAGTCGACCAACCCCAAGCCTCGCGTTGTTCAGATTGAGGCAGGTGTGGACATCATCGGATATTGATCTGGGTCTAATCTGCCTGAATGCGCATAGCCAAGACCCGGAGTAGGAAAAGAACCAGAAAGCCGAGCTTTTGGGGGGAAAGGGACCCTGTCGGTCAGGACTCAGCACTCAAGAGAACCTGAATCTCCTTTCCTTCCAGTATTCCCTTTCCATTCCTTCGACTTCCGGTATTTCCAGCTGTGCTCCATTTTCGACCGCTAGGCAGCAACCCGGCATTCTTTGTGTAGCCGAGCACCTCCTTGGGAACTGACGCACTGGACAACAGGTGATCCAAGACATGACTTCATACCTCACAACTAGTTAGGGAGGTCTCAGCCAGGAGACGACCTTTTTCTCTTCTCTTCACAGCACTCCAGCGACTTGCGGGTCGAAATGTCGAGCAAAGGTGGTACCGGTATAAGTTGGGCCCCTTTCCCCTGACCACTTTTTCCAGCTTGTTGCCATCGCCCAATTAGTACAGCATCTCCAGGAGAAAGAGACGGTCTCTACGGAACGGAGTACGTTGAACCATAGTGTACTGCACACACAAAGAGCAGAGGGCAGCTGAACGCGTGGGTTCGGAGTACTGCTTATCGACCGACGACCGACCCGGGAGACGTCATATCGCAGCATCGCCCTTCCACTCCCCAAACGGCGAGTTCGAGTCAGGCGGCGGAGTGAGTCCAGCACTGACTTTTCGGCTTGAAAAGAAATTTCTCGTATTCGGTTCCGTAGGTTGCCGTTGCACGCCGAAGGGGGGACCACTCGTTATCAGCACCAAGTCGTAAAATGAACGAGGCACTAAGAAAGCGGCGGGAATCCCTTCACCCACTTCTGCCAAGCTTTCAGGGTTTTTGAGGCAGGGGTCCTATTCTCCAAACCCTTTGCCTGTCTCCTTGCGACCACACCACTTGTTGCAGGAAACAACAGCCCTTCGTCGTAGAAAACAACTTCAGCATAATGATAATCTTTCCAAGCAGCGCTGCAGAGATTCTGCTGGATGCCGACCCGCGACCCTTCAGAAGGGACAACAGCATTGGAGTAGAATCACAGGTGGCAACAATAAGTCAACACTAGGTTTAGCCTGGAATGTCATGTTGTGACAATTTCCACACTAGCGAGAGGAGCGCCAGGCCGCTAGCAGCACTAACAGCGGTGCGTTGGGCCTGTTTCCTGGGCCACATTTGACTACTATGTATGTACTCCGTACTGTCCGATACTGTCCCCTGGCTTTCTGTGAGTGGACATCTGCTGATTAGTAGCTACAATGTATTCCATTCTACTCACACAATTAAACGTAAACCAGCAGTGCATTAAATCTTCTGCGAGATATTGTATCCGTATTAAGGTTCAATTTCAACCCCAGCACGCTGCTTGACAGCTGGAACGAGTGCTAAATCACTGGACGCCGACTTCAATCAAGTAATAGAAACCTCGAATGAACACCCTGCACTGGAGATGAGAACAACAGAGGACCCACGCGATGCTGGCTCGCTTCCGAGTGAACCGTGTCTCTTGACAGGCCCGAACCAACTCTCATTTGATTGCGTACCGAGGTGCATGACTCTCGATGATTTACATTACGGTCCGAACAGATGTAAATCACTGTGATGACATAATAGTCGAAACTAACTCAACAATGGGAACCGTGCTAACTGCGCTATATAGCTGGGCTGAGATGGTCTAAATTGCCAGCAGAGACATTTTCAGAATCAATCTACGCAACATCTCGGTCCTGTGTTTTGTTTAGAATGAAGCTGAGATTAATTCTGCAGCCAGATGTGATCACGGAATAGCCTCGGGGTACTTGCCTGCGGAATAACTTGTCTCGTAGTAAGTAATATTCCGGAGACCCTGGATGCTTTTTAGTGAGGGTCTGCAGCCACGAATTTACTAGTCAAGTTCCAAGGCTTTGAACACGGAGGTAGAAGCCCAGCGGATAGCCGAGCTTGGGTCTTGGCCGGCGAGTGTACTGTACATACAATTGAACTTGGATGACAGCATAGCGTTAAGTTAGAAGTTACAGTAGTAGTATCGCTGCTCACCGAAACTGTGAGCAGTGCGAACTCAAGGTTGAGGTCTGACTGACGCTGTTGATCATTGGCAAAACTCGTCGGAGACGAAAGCGACTGAAGGACAGACGGACAGGACTTGGAGCGGTACCGAGCGTTAGGACGGAGTCGATGAGACTTTCGCACTGGTTTCCCACCCACCCTGAGATTAAACTGTGAGAATTTGATCAATTTGATCTAAACAGGTGGGCGGCCGCTACGGCAGGGTACTGGACCAAAACAGTAAGGCACAATTTGGTCCTGCGTGACAAGAATAGACTAGACTACACTAAGCCGGACAACCGTGAGACCCTGAAACCGAAAAAATGATCGTTGTATCATCACTAGCAGCATCATCGAGCCCGGCAAAATTACGGGCATTCCACAACGCTTTGGGTATCAGACCAGTTCCGGATTCAGGCAATCCTACCTTTCCTGTTGCGGAGGTGATGGAGGTTTTCGGGGTTACACTCTTCCTCTCTTATATCATTCTGAGCTCTTTTCAAATTTCTCAAGGCTTTGGTTGTCTCCGATCATCCTTTAATTGAATAGGTTATTGTCAGGTAAGCATAATCAAGGGGGAGAGAGAGAGGAGGGGGTAGTCCGAGATAATAATCCATTCGAGGTACTCCGTACAGTCCCAAAACCTTCGAAAAGATAGCAGAAAAATAAAAGGGAAAAAATGTTTGACTAGCTCGGAGCTCTTGTTGCAGTGGTGGCTGGATGATAAGGCAACTCATTGGCCCCTGAAGACAGGCTGAGGGAGCGGCGCCAGAGCCGAGAAATGTGGCCATTTGCCCTCAGTGACTGGCTATCGACTGTGACCCTGGGGCGGGATGACCCTACGGAATTACTGCTTTGGGTGCAGTTATGCGGGGACTGTGACCAGTTCATACCCTATTATATCAGTTATTATCAATTAGATCCAGTTAGATTCAATTGGCGTCTCCACTTCGACCATGGCCAAGAATACCTCCCAAGGACCAGGGAGCAACCGGAAAGCCAGGCACCTCTTGAGGCCAACCCATGATCCGGGGCCCACACGCCTTGTTTCACGGGCAAGACACCTTAACAGTCTAGTCTAGCACTACTTAGTGGTCTAGCAAGTACGAAGTAGGGACTAGTTGATTCTCCTAAGGGAGGAGTCAGTCCCTAAAACTAAGTAATTCCTACCTAAATACGGAAGAGTGAAAGAGTCTCACGCTCTCTCCAGGACAGCCAGGGCAAGCAGAATAACAGTCGCCCTGAAGGGGAAATTCACCACCCCATTCATCCATCCATCCATCCACCATCCATCACCACGGACCCTGCCTCCGCTTATATCGTCACACCCTGAATTTACCCCATTACTACTACTAACTAGTTACATCTAATAATCTAATAACACCGGCGATTTGTCTGCTCTCCTCATTCTTTTTCCTCTGTCATCTGTCCTCTGTCACCCTCCCTCCCCCTCTCAAAAACAACCAACCTTCCCTGCGACGGACCACACCCCGTCCGTCTTCCTCATCATCTCCTCACCTCCTTCCTCGGGTTAACACAGGCCCTGACGCCAGGGTCTGTTTGTTGCTTTTGAACGGCCGATCCAAGCTGACTCAGTCCTCTCCTTCACCTGCACCCATTAATCCGTCACGAGTCGCTTGACCAATCCTCGACTGACCAAATCTCTCATTCCTTTTCCTCAAGCGCTGGCAAAAGAGAGTACCCTACGGTCGGCTTTAATTCTAGACTGGATTGCCAACCCATCAGGACTTGGTAGCAGCAGGAGACCATAGAGGATTTACGAGGGATTTTAGTCTCGCGATTCGCGATCGGAAAACACCGAACTCCATTGTTGGTGGGATCACCCTTCCTGGCTACTTCGACCCATCCCGCGCAGTTTTGGCATGCTTTAGGGGCGTTCACCTCGGAACCATCGCGTGCCTCATTATCTGTCAGCATCATCACTTCTGATTGTCGACTTGGTCACGAGCATGCTTGTCGCCCTTTCCACGTCTGTTCGAATTATCTGCTTGGTCTTGTGACGTAGTTAGGCCACCTCTTTCTGCGAGGACGTTGTCCGACCGTCGACGAGATCAAATGGCAGTCTTTGATGGAATCGGGTCTTTGCTACGACCCTGTCTCGCCATTTGGATGGTACTGGCGACCATCATCACCCCTGGAGCTTCTCAGTTCTGTTCATTCTGGAGTGGTAATTGTGTTGATGCGCTGGCACAAACCGCCGTCTCTTTTCAATTCCCTCCGCTTTTCACTGACAACCTCAACCTTTACTATGGATTTGATGCCAATGCGCGCGGAAAAGGTCAACAGCCCATGACCAAGGTCAGTTACTGGCTCAGCTATGGAGGCAACATCGACAATTCCATCATTATGGGCAACCACACCACCGAAATTGGCTTGCGGGTGGGCAATTTAACCGGCACACCTTCGGGGTCCAACAATGGGTGCGACGGCGTCTGGGGCCCGCAATGCTCCACCGACCTGAAGGCATTATTGACCGAGGCCCTCTACGGCCTCACCAGCAGTGGGGAATACTATACATTTCCACTGCAGACCGTCCTGAGCCAAATGCTTTTGAAGAGACCCCACCTCCCGAGTTGTTTCCCGCAGCTGTTCGACGTTGGTGGCATCCCTACCATGGGTATGTAATGCTGCTGCTCTGTCTGATTGTATATCATCAACTAATCCCACGTGCAGCGTTCGTCCAAGAGACCGGTCCCGACCAGACTGCAACGTTCCAGACCGCCGGGTCGAGCAACAACCCGTGGAGGACATGGTTCCTCGACAACATGACGGCCCATGAGCAAGCTGCGCAGGTCGCCGTTGCCATTATTAGTCGTGCGCCTGCGTACGATGGTCTACTACCACAACAGAGTGGTGATGTGCAAGTGGAACTTGTATGCACTCAGGCCCCCTCTTCCGGGAGCTCCTCATCACCAAGTAGCGGCTCATGAGACCTCTGCATGTGGTTACTTGGTTCCTCTTCTAAGTTTCTGATGCCTGGAAACACTAAGGCATACAAACATCATCACGGCCTCTGTGCCCTATCATTTATGACCGCCGCGCACGGTCATCCATTGCGCACAGGTCCGCTTGCTCCGCCGAGCTGCATTATCATGGCAGTGTCGCGGCAGCTTACACCTGTTCACTCGACAAGCTTGAACCTTGCGACCTGGACATTCTATGAATGGGGCACTAGGCAATATCGGGTGTCTACAACATGTCGACAAGCAGTGGTGTCGGATTGATATTGAGGACTACCCCTCGAATAGCAGGGAAAGGCTGTCTTGCTGGGGCTGATGATAAGCCAGATTCATCTGCCAGCCTCTGCTGCGACCTTGACCATCACCAAATGTGCTTGTGCTGAGTATGTCGTGAATAGGGCGGCATGCTTGTAGGACGCTCCATTACTGGGACTGCGTTTGACAGGATCTCTGCCAGTCAGTCCAGGGAGTAGCCTCGTGTCGGCTTGCATCTTTAGCTGGGTTCTTGTCAAACCGCAGTAGCGGGCGCTATTTATTCGAAGCGCGAACTCTGAGCGACACACATAATATACATCAACATGAGTCATTAATATATTAGATAACTGAAATCAGAATCCGCACCCCTATAGATCCCAAAGCTCCCAACACCAAGATCCATATCCTGTATATATGTGATCACCCGTCTTGAATCACCTTCACCTCCTGGAGACCCCCCCCCTCAGCCACAATCTCATAGCCAACCTAACCACACACCCCCCAAGCACCCCTGAACTCTACAAAGTAGGCCACCCCATCTCAATCCCCTGCAACTCCCCCGGCCCGCGAAAATCCTCCAGGATATCCGCCTGCTCACTGAGCATCACCCGATCCGTCTGACAGCCGACCCGCGCCAAACCCCGCCAGCGCTCCAAATCCGCCGGGTTCCGCTTATCCCCCTTGGCCTCCTCATTGCGCTCCCAATGGCCCTTGGAGAACGCGATCAGCGTCGTGATTTTTCGGTTGGGGATATCGAACACCAGCGAGCAGATGGTGCCCGTCTCCTCGAGCCAGTTGCACTGCCACAGCTCCCCCGGCCGGATGCACTGGTACGTCGCGGTCTGGAAGTTCCGGCGGCCCGCCATGGGCCCCCCGTGGATGGCGTAGACGATCCGGTCCTCGTTGTAGAACCACATCTCGTAGCGCCATTTCTCCGGGTTGCCCGCGGCGTCCTGCGCCGCGTAGTCGTAGATGAGGTGGCGGTCGCGCAGGTCGGTTGTGAAGTGCGTGGTTGTGGTGGGGGTGGCTGGGAGGGCGGGCATTTTTTTGTTGGTGGTTGAGGTTGCGTGGTTGGTACTAGGTAGGTTTGGTTTGGGTATAGTATGTGTTGAGGTTGTTGGTGTGTGGTTTGGTGTATGGGTTGGGTGCGCGTGGATTGATGAGGGTGGAGACTGAGCAGGGATCTTTGGGTCTATATATATCTACGATTTTTACCCTGGTTTTTTCGAGATTGGATGATTCTGGCATTGTAGAACTGGAGTGCCGTGGAATCTTCGGTCTCTCTATCGGGTCTGGTACATATGTCACGCTCTCGTGTGCTCGGCTTTACGTCTCGGGATGAGCGTGTCGGATGAGGCGGGATGGGTGGGATGATGTCATTTCCTGGGTTTATGGTCTGTAGGGCTGGCTGGCTGGCTGGCTGGGTGTTATGGGGCCTTCTTAAAGCAGTGGTGGTATACCTATTTACTTACGGTGTACCGTACCGTTGACGACGTTGTAGTGGGGATTGGATGGGATGGGATGGGTTTACTCGGTTGGGGTGAGCGGCAGTTTCGGCCGGGTTGTGTGTGCCTAGGCTGGAGGGTTTGCCTAGGTTCGGTGGTGGTGGGTATCGTTTTAGGATGTGTTCGTGAGGTGCTGTGGATGGTGCTGGTAGTTGATGAACGCTGTTTAGGTGCATTGTTCTATGTCTATGTTTCCTACTAGTATTCTTGGTTGGGTTGGGTGATTTGTGCTCTATGTGGCTGGAGATCTGGTAGAGTTGGGGTTCGGCCGAACCGTTGCATGATTTGCAGTCTTTCGCTATCGCATCCAACTGTACGGTACATATGTAGCATGAATTGGTTCTAATTGTTGCTGATAATGGAGAAGGACGCCTCAATTTCCGCCCCTCTGCTTCATTATCGCTGAAGCTTTGAAGCTACTAACGTACGTAGTGCGCACTCACGTGGTGTTGTTGCAGGCAGAGAGCCAAGATGGCCCAGGCGCTGCCGCTCGGCGCCTTATGCGGGGCGAATTGCTCGCTAAACTTCTACCGTCAACGCCGTCGATCTTGCCAAGCAAGTAGTCTCATGAGCCAAATTGGCTTTCCCTCTATAGTAAAGTTGTTCCTGCAGATTTGCTGGCCCTCCATGGTCTGTGTGTGGCTCGAGGATGGTCAGCTGCAAAAGTGAATCTTGGTTTCTTTTCGCCTATTGTTGGAGTTGTTAGCGCTTAAGGGTCTCAGACCGCACAATGGCGATGGCTGGATTGCAGCGGGATGCTGTTGGGTTTTACTACAGTAGTATGTCGGGTTGCTAGATTCTTTGTATTCCAGGGGCAAGGCGTGCTATATATCTGTATGAGTCTCGAGGCTATGCTGATTGCAGCTGCGATCATGGCATATTTGTGGATACATTCGTGTGTGCATCGCTACAGCACTGGAAATCGGCAGCGACTGATCTCGTCCTACGCTCTGACCCGCTTTGCTTGACGATCATCAGTCATTCCGATACTCGATGAACGAGATTGGATCTCGATAGAGACAAGATAGATGTTCGAAAATTATACAGTCTCTATCAATGCTCTTGAACTAGCACTGGGTATATTTCTGTATGGCTACTAGGGGTTGGTGGGACCAGTCCACAGACCGGAGCGATCGATCAGAGCACTCGGCGGCGCTTGCAGTCATCGAAGGATTCCAGATCGGGCTGGACCTCGTCGGATCTGCGACGGTGGACACGCGATAATACCACTGGCGCCTACTGCCGTAAACCGCTCGGAGAAACAGTCTGTGGCTTTCCAGAGAGCTTAAGTATGGGGCTTCTGGTATAGTTTGGGACCAACGAGTCATTGACCAGACAAGGCGATCAATGCTCCAATACTGCCTGCGTCACTCATGGGACTAGAACTCACCTAGCTCAATGGAAAGTCAACGTACCAGTCGATAGCTAAAGCATTACTGCAACATTTAAAGTTTGCAGTTCCACTGGGGAGGGAAGACCCCAAGCTCATGAGAGAGGAGTCGGGATCGAATCATAAGCGAAGCTGGTCCGACGTAGCTGAACGCCGTCATGTGTGACGGCATCAACGTTTCATATCGGATGAGGGCGGAAAATATGATGGGCTTGACAACGGTTGATTGCATGAGAGCTGCCGGTCGACTTGCTGTGGTGTGTCGAATGGTAAGTGAGCCCTGACCATCTGTGACCATAGGAAAATGCAGGGAGAGCTAATTATACTGCTGCAGAAGCGCCCGACTGCGGACAAGACTTTTGGGTATTATACATAAGAGATTTCAAGACATTGAGTCGATAGGCTTTTTCCCTTTTGCACATAAGAGTATAGAATTTTTCTCCTTCGCTCCCTCCACTATCGATACTACTTCACGTTCGATACTTCCTCAGGAGTGGTTGAATAAGCGATTTGAACCGAAGTGTGTGGTGGTGATTTCATCTCATGATCTTCTCCCCCCCCTCCCCGCTACCTGCATGACGTAGCAAACACAGCATAATCGTCATCGTCGGCCCGTCCGAACATTCCGCACTTAAGCAACTATCCCCTCCCACCATCTGAGGATCCACCCTCAGCTTTATTAGACGGATCAGAAGTCCGCTGAAACACGATCGATATCTTCTCGAAGCTCAAGTCACTGTTGCCCGGGGCATCCTTATCGCTGTCTCACCCATTCCAGGACGAACTAGCCTATCAGATCAACCGGAGGATCTATACAACCCGTTTTTATACCTTGACAGCTTTAGAATCCATTCAAAATGGTCGGAAAGGCTATCCCGCTCGGCCTCAGGCTCTGGGAGGTATGTGGCACACTCCCTAGATGGCACCTTCGTCAATACCAGCATTTCGTGCAGAAGCACTGCAGCAGCGAAAGACTAACAGCGAAATGCTGGAATATAGTTCCTTTGGACTCTCCTCGTCATGGCCTTGATCGGTAACATGATCGCCGAAGCATTCGCAGGCAACCCTGCCACCGTCAACTATGCCATGTTCGTTTCGGCATTCTCGATGTTCACCCTCTTCTACACTATCCCCGCAACGCTTAACCCCGACTGGGCCATCCACCCTATCTTCCTGATCGCTATCGATACTCTCAATGCGATCTTCTTCTTGACCGCTGGTATTGCTCTGGCCGCCAAGCTGGAATGCCACAGCTGCAGCAACGACGTATGTAACCCATGAGCGGAACCGCAAGACCTACACATAGGCCACTCCCAGAACAACAGGAACTCTTGAAACATACGCTGACTCTACTATGACACAGAGCTACACTCTCAACAATGAGATCACCAATGGTTCGAACAACCGCGGAAAGCGCTGCCGTGAGGCTCAGGCCTCCACCGCATTCCTCTGGTTCGCCTGGGTCGGCTATACCGTCTCCTTGGTCTTCTCGATCATGGGCTCGCGCTCCGCTGGTGTCAACCTCCGTGGACGCACCGGCCCCGCCCGTGGTGCTCGCCCCAGCATGGCGCAGGTCTAAGCGTGCGTCAAGTATGTCCGTCGAGCCTGAACGGAGTCAACACACTGCTCCACCAGTGCTTCTCTCCCCAGGCGGCGAAAAAGCTCTGGACATACAAGACCTCGGGTTATAATGCAAAGGGATAAACAAAAGCTAAAATGAAACGGTAAAAGGGAAATGACTTACGACTGTCAAAGGACAAAAACGTATGGGACGCAGAATGGGCCATGACGCTACTCTCAAAGATGACAGTCAGAGTACTTGATCTGATATCTCTCTGATGGCCGGGTGTTGGCTGGTGAGATTCGAATATTCGACCGTTTGAAATGGTAATTATACTGGGATTTATTTTTGGATTCTGTTAATGGTTGGGGCTTGGGAATGATACGGGGCTATATTCGCTAGGCCGGATTGGGTGGAGTTAACACATCTTTATCTTCTTTTGATGTCTATCTGTTTTACTATGTGACTGATAGTATGTAATACTTGGATCTAATATTGTGTGACTTTTATCTTATTGTGATTGATGCCTGATTTTATAGGACAGTTTGGTAGATGCTCTAACTTCTATACATATATGTAAGCAAAGGGGGGATAGTAGATGTAGACTCCAGCATGTCTAAAAAGTCCTATGGTGGTTCGCAGATTCTGTACACGCTATAATCACAATCTAGGTAAGTCCATTATCCACCAGTGCTATTGTATTGTGTTGATGGATTGGCTGTGTAGCAAGACGAGATATCATCTATATCTACCACAGCTAGCAGCTTTCTTTACTACTAGTGACCTTTTGTATCTTTTACATGTAGCATAATATTCATTATCACTGTCAAAATTAAGATGCTAGATTACTTCATCCCTAATCATTTAAGTGATATCTTAGACTCCTACAACGTAGTGACAGAGACCAATTTTAACAGTGTTAGTTATCGAGATTGTACTGATTATTAGTAGGTAGTCATGATGACGATACAGTATCTGGGGAGCCTTAAGTGTCTAGGGTATAGGCTCCCTACTTGCTTCATAAACACAATAATTTAACCAATCAGCCTAAGACAATACACAGTTGTATTATTACTCCGTACATTATGCTATCAGCTGAGATCCTGTCTTCCACCAACTGATTCCCAATTGTGAAAGAGTCTCGATTGGGGAGGGAGCTGGCTCGGGTCGATTGATGCATGCATCGTTGACCAAGTCAGCCATCGCTCAATAGTGTCTCAATAGCAAATCGCCCTGTCATTTAATGTATTGTCTTCTATCTATTCGAGAGTGTCTACTGCGAATTCCTCGAGCAGTCACAACAATAAGGGCAAGCAAGCAACGGCGGGGCACCGGTGCGGCCCGTGCAAGAATTTCTCCAGAGGCGGCGGAACATCCCTCTACCTTCCACCTCCTCGTGGCCTTTCTTACCCCGATCTCAGCTCCTCTCTTCTTCCCCTTCCCATACCTCCTCCCAACCTCAACTTCTCAATCTAACGAACAATGGCAATCCAGTGAGATTGACCCAAGTCGCTTCTCTTCGGAAAGGCCGCTAACCATGTTCCCCCCAGCTACCTGATCCTCCTGTCGCGGCAAGGCAAAGTGGTTCGTGGCCCACCCAACTTTTGACCTGGCTGGAATCGCGGACTAATCGAAACAAATTTCCCACTCCCCAGCGCCTTGCCAAATGGTTCACAACTCTCTCCCCCAAGGAGAAGGCCAAGATCATCAAGGATGTGACCCAGCTGGTTCTGTCGCGTCGCACCCGCATGTGCAATTTCCTCGAATACAAAGGTTTGTCGTCATCGCATCCAAGCCCCCCCTCCTTTTTTCCCAGCCACACCACCCCGCAGCTCCGAATTCTGACATGGGGACTTCGTCTCTCTCTTTCTCTTAACAGATACCAAAGTCGTCTACCGTCGCTATGCCTCCCTTTTCTTCATCGCCGGCTGCGCATCCACCGATAACGAGTTGATCACCCTCGAGGTCGTGCACCGCTACGTCGAGCAGATGGACAAGTACTACGGCAATGTCTGTGAACTGGACATCATCTTCAACTTCCAGAAAGCATACTTCATCCTGGACGAGCTGCTGCTAGCAGGCGAGATGCAGGAGAGTAGCAAGAAGAATGTTCTCCGGTGTATCAGTCAACAGGACAGCTTGGAAGATATGGAGGTACGTTGATGCTAGTGTTCTGGTTCTAATTCCTGTCCCCTTTCCCATCGGGCGGGGAAGTGAGAAGGAGATGTAGAGCTGGAAGGTATCATAACCTTTCAGCTTCATCTCATGAAACCTGCTCTGCAGTCATGATCGTCTTCAATCCGTTCCCCGGTCCCGGTGCCCCTTTTCGCTAAGCCATGCCATAACTCGGGTTGCCCATCGCCGTTGCATCCTCTCTTCCTATTCATACCCCCTCGCAAAATCCCACACCCGCCCTCTTGTTTCCGCTACACTGGTCTCCCACTCCAGGTCGCCATCTCTTATGCATGCTAATACCCCCCCTCAGGTCGAGGAAGATGTGGTTACGAAGATCATGTAGAAGCTTCTCAGGCAGTCAAGCGTTTCCGTGTTTCTCTTGTTTGGGATAATCATGATTTTCTGGGCCCCGGGGGCCAGCTCTGTTGGCGTTGGACGTACTATAGGCGTTGTGTTCTACTGTTGCGACCTGTTTCCTTGTCTTTTTTTCCATTTTTTCCGACTAATTTAATACCACCCAATTGACACTTCTGTGCTCGTCTTTCAGGAATCCAAGGAAGTGCTCGGCCACCTTTCCCAAGAAGGGTTGATCTGAAAGACAGGAAAGTCGAGCAAGTCTGGTTTGGCCAGTCTGGGGCAATCCGTGGTTCAGCCGCAAGACCCGTGAGGAAAGTGCGTGATATCACTGGCCGCACTGCCTCCTCCACGTGACCGGGGCCTTCCCCCTCCGGGGAACAACGCGACACCCCGGCCAGGCGATCCCCCCCCCAAGTGCCGTATCATTGCGACACCTCTCATCCCCCATTCCTCCATCTCTTTCGTTATTTCATCTTTTCTCCACGGCTATGCCAATTTGGCCTACAATTTCTGCCTATTAATCGCCAGATTTTCCACTTCACACCCTGCCAGCGTAGCTTGGGTACCACCTGCCAGCTCACTGCCCTTATCGCTGCTTGCGTGACGTCTCAGGAGACAAAGAACCAACCAACAAACGCATCGTGATTCCGAATAGTTGAGGAATTCACCTTATTTCTACTGTCGCAATCGGTGCTCTTCAGTCACATTGATACACCATTCTCTCTCTTTCCATCCCATCGCCTTTTATCGTGATTCTTATCTACGTCATCCGCTCACCGCATATCTGGCCCCAGATGAAGGTACGACATTGGTGCCTGCCGTGCCATGCAACACGCTCGCTACGGAATATTGGTCGCTAACCAAGCTCTCTGTCTGAATAGTTCCTTCCTTTGCCCGAACTTGAGGACGTGACGAGCTCGCTGAATTTCGACACCGCCGACTGTCATATCGTTGGTGGCTGTGACCTATATACCACCAAGGCCGCCCGAGCGGATCGGAAGTTGTACAGGAATATTGAGCAATCTTTGGAGTCCCAATATGAATCCGTGCTTCGCCTGTCGGCTTCGTTGTCGCCGCCAAATGCATCCGACGCGGCCGCGTCGCTCAATCTGTCCCGCTCCAGTCCCTTTGGCCCCCTGAGCGATCACTCCAGCCGTCGAACCTTTGCATACTTGATCGCAACATTAAATGCCAGCCATCCCGATTATGACTTCTCACATGTATTGCGCCCGTCTGATTTCCACCGCGAGCGCAATCTCAAGAGGGTCATGAACACGATCGACTCCACATTGTTCAACTTGCGACCGCGCGAAGCCATTGACCTGACACCCCCATCGCCTGTGACCGTCTCTGGATCATACAACGCGGGTGCATCTGCTACATGGGGACCGAAAATGTGGGGAGTCATTAATGAGCATATGTCGCTGAAAGAGTGCTCATTGTATTCCTACTCGCCGGAGGAGGATCCGTCGGACGCCGATGACGGAGCGATCTGGAGTCTCCACTATTTCTTCTTCAACCGGCTTCGCAAGCGGGTCTGCTATCTTTATCTCCGAGCTATCCCGATCCTGAGTCATACTCCCAGTGAGGGAGTGGCTACGCCTACGACGAAGCGCACATATGATGACGGATACTTGACCCCCGAACTCAGCTCTAGCAAGCGGGCTCGCTATTGGCTGGGCGAAGGCGTCGAGCTCGACAGTGAAAGTGACGAGGAGGATCTTTCGAAGTCGCATCATGCTGGAGACGAGTACGATCCATATGTGCTCAGTGACGAGGAGTTCCGATCCCGGTCCGGTAGTAAAGGGACCGTTCGGGCGATGAGCGAGGAAATCGCCGACTCGATGGAAGTCTGATCGTGCTTTGCTGATTTTGACCGCACTTCCGCAGCCTTTCGCGCTGCTTCTGATTCTTCAACCTTGAACATGTTCGGCTTGCCACTCGATTCTCTTCCACTATGTTCGGCCAATCGCGTTTTGTGTATTTCGGCGTTTTTTTTGTTACTGCATTCAACCTGCATTTACATAGGCTAGGGGCGTTATAACTGGCGAAGGAACGGATCTGGCCCCTAATATTTTGCGAACGGCCGTTATGATGATGACAACGATCAGGCACTGCGTGGCCCGGCGCGGCGCGAAGGGCAGGCTCCACGCCGGCATTCCTATGGTCTTAATGTTCAGTTCGTGTATCTAATATAAATTGACTTGCGTTGACAGGGAGAGTTTCTGTCTGGTTGTATTCTGTGGTGTGAGTATGAGTTACGAACAGGGATCAAATCGGTCTTCACCAAGAACTTGTAACTATAGTACAGTACAGTCGATGCTTAGACTGTAGAATGAACGGCAGCCCGACCCCAAGTGGTCCGTGCGCGGGCAAGCTGTCCGTTCCGAACAACATTCATCATATCCACTATCATTCTCGTCCTCCCCTCCCTTCGATACCTACACCCACACTCCTCTCCAGACCCATCCTGTGCTCCATCATGGCCGGCGACGAGGAGCGCATCAAAGCTGAAAAGCTGGCGGCCGCCAAGAAAAGGGTATGTTATGTGCTCCTTGCGATATCATCAACGATGGCCGTTCTCCGCGGAGGATGTGGTCCCCGTCCAACCGCGCCCGCAGTTCATGTCTAGACCAACCCCCCTAACGATCGGTCTACTACAATTTGACTTTGTGGATACCATTTACATGTGCTGATTCTTTTGGGTCGGGGATAGGTTGCTCAGCTACAGAAGCAGAAGAAAAAAGCCAACAAGAAAGCTGCGGGTAGCTCCGATTCTTCGAAAGCCGCGGCGCCCGAGACCCCTGCCGGCGCCGCCGCCGCTGAACCCTCGCCGGCTGATGATGCTGTACCGATGCCGGTGATAGCATCGGATACCCCGGTGGTGGTGGCAGAGGGAGCAGAAGCGCAGTCTGTTGGTGATACCGCCGGCGCCGCCGTCGACGCTGCTGCTACACCTGTTGAGATTGGGGGAGTACCTCAACCTGAAGTAGAAGCAGTAGCTGCGGAGACGTTACCCGCGACCGAGGAATCAGAAGAGCCTACCACTACGATTGAAGAACCGAAGGAACCCATACCAGAGGAGCAGGAGGAGACAAAAGAGGCAGCAGCAGAACACGAAGATGGAGGCGTAGCACCGCAACCCGAAGAACAACCGCCCGCCGCCGCAGAATTCCCTCAAGCATCCCCCACCGCCACCGAACCCATGCCCGACGCGCCCATCACGATGTCGCCGGATAGCGAAGAAGCGCCGGCCTCTGTGCCCGGGACGACCCGACTCGATGCCCCGCCGACTCGTCCCGCCGGCCACGGTCGCCAGCCCTCGTTGTCGATTCAGTCGAAGATGCGGTCGTCGTCCTTCCGGAAGGGGTCGGTGTCGCAGGGTTCGCTGTCGCCGTCGCCGTCCGCGCCTGTTGGAGGAGGCGGGGGCATGCTCAAGTCGCCTTCGTTGCCGCCTTTGAGTGCGGATGGCGAGGCGGTGCAGGAGGTGTACCGGAAGCAGTCGGCGCGGATTGAGGAGCTGGAGCGGGAGAATAAACGGTTGGAGAAGGAGCGGGAGGAGGCGACGGGCCGGTGGAAGAAGTCGGAGGATCAGCTGGAGGATCTGCGGGAGGCGAGTGTGGATGCTGAGGAGTTGAAGGAGAAGTTGGGGAGGGCGGAGGAGAAGGCCGCGGAGATTGAGGAGTTGGTGAGTTACTTTTCTTTTCTTTTTTCCTTCTCTGGTTCATGGTAGTCGGACTGGGATTGGAATCGATCGAGGCTAATTATGTGGGGGTTTGTGTCTACTTAGAAAGCGGAGATTGCTTCGCTGCAGAGACAGAACTCGCACCTGCAAACACGAACGCACCGCAACAACGCCAGTGTGTCCGCCCCGGGACAGTCCGAGTCGCCGCCGGCGGATCTGGTGAAACAAATCGAGTCTAAGGCCGCGACGATCGAGGCGATGGAGCTGGAGATCTCGAACCTGCGCGCGCAGCTCTCGTCGCAGACGACCTCGAGCAGCGCGCATGAGGCCCAGATCGCGGCGCTGGAGGAGAAGCTCGCGACTGGTGAGACCGCGCTGGAGAAGTCTCAGCGCGAGCTGGCGGACACCAAGGCGGCCTTGACTCGTGCCTCGGAGAAGGCGGTCAAAGAGGGCGTCGACAAGACTTCCAGCGAGACTCTGATCAAGAGCCTCCAACGGGAGGTAGAAGAGCTGAAGCAGGAAAAGGCCGACGCGGAGAAGAAGATCGAGACCCTGGAGAAGAAGCTCGAAGCCATGGGCAACCTGCACCGCGAATCCGAATCCCGTCATCAAGCACGACTGCGCGAGAGCGAGAAGGTGGAGAAGGAGGCCGCGGTCCTGCGCAAGCGACTCGCGACCGTGGAGAACGAGAACCTCCGCCTGAAGGAGGAGCAGGAGACCCTTCGCAAGCGCGAGGCCGGCGGGGCCGATGACGATGCTCTCGACGAACTCGAGGACGAGGAACGCTCTCGACTGCAGCGGCGGATCCGTGACCTGGAAGGTGAGGTCTTCGATCTTCGCCGCGGTGTATGGCAGGAGAAGCGCGAGGAGCTCGCCGGCGGAGCCGATTATCACCCCTCCTTCAGCGGGGACCCCGACTCGGCAACTGCTGCGGCGGCGAATACCTTTGACGACGTCGACTTGACCGGCGGCTCTTCTGCCGACCACGCTCGCCGCCGCAGCATGGCCCAGAGCAAATCCCACGGGCAGCACTCATCCTTCTCGACTGTGCTTAGCAGTGGGATCGCCGCGTTCACGGGCGGGAACACTTTCTACGGGAACCGAGGCCGCGCCTCATCGAACCAGCAGCCCGCTGGCACACGGGGTAGCTTGGAGCTTCTGTCGGAAGAGAACCTGGATGATGAATTCGACGAGGCGGAGTTTGCGCGTGCGCAGGCAGAAGAAGAGGCTCGCAAGCGGGTGGAATGGGTGCGCGAGATCAAGAGGAAGCTCAGGGACTGGCATGGTTGGCGGTTGGATTTGGTGGACAGTCGGGCTGGTGCCGAGGGCGCCGGTGTCGGGATGGGAGAGATTTTCGAGATTTAAAGAGGTCTACGTGCAGATACATGCAGACTATCAATTATACCATTGTGTTACTTTTGTTGATGGCTTACCACATTGTCAGTAAGAGTTAAGAGTGGGAGGATAGCTACCAGAGCGAGCTGGAAGTAGTGAGTGTACGAGCAGGTATTTGGGAGTAACCCTTTCCAGTAAGGTGATTTGAGGCGTGTTATCGATAAGCGCGGCGGCGGTGCTCCACGCAGGATTGCGGAGTTGCACCGCGCAATTCGGCCTACTTGGCCTTTCTTCCATCATCTTTCCCCATTTCATTGTTTCGTCCCTCCTTTTCCCCCCTCTCTTCCCGACTTTTCTTAACAGCCATCTGCCCTGGAGAGCGAAGGGCTTGGTTCCACTGTCGCTCTCTTTTTGCTCTTGGTGTCTGCTGATTTAATGCCTTAACCGGGTAACCTTCGCCCTTGTTTGTCCATTGACGGGAGTGTGTGTGTGTCTCCGACACGGCAACTTTTCGTGATGAATGGGTTCGGCGATCACGGCCTCAATGAGGATGCGTTCAGCGAGAAGTCTCAGCTGCAGGGCGGCTTGAAGACGTTTGATGCTTTTCGTGAGTTGTCACTGTCTGATTCAGCTTGTCCCCATAAACCAGATACCCGTGGAGCTAGCTAGCCAGCCAGCCATCCAGCGACCCCATGCGCAACCCCCCATCTCCAAATCACCCATCCACATCCACACACAAACACAACCACTAACTCAAACCCCCCTCCCGCCTCACAGCCAAAACCAAAACCTCATACACGGCCCCCTCGCGCCGCGGCGGCCAATGGACGGTCCTGATCCTCCTCATCTGCACGGTGTTTTCCGTGTCGGAGTTCCGAACCTGGCTCCGGGGCACGGAGACCCACCAATTCAGCGTGGAGAAGGGGGTGTCGCACGACCTGCAGCTGAACCTGGATATCGTCGTGCGCATGCCCTGCGACACGCTGCACGTCAACATCCAAGACGCCTCGGGCGACCGCATCCTGGCCGGGGAGCTGCTGCAGCGCGAGCGCACCAGCTGGCAGCTGTGGACGGACAAGCGCAACCGCGCGTCCGCGCACGAGTACCAGACGCTGAGCCAGGAGGAGCCCGACCGGCTGGCGGCGCAGGAGGCGGACGCGCACGTCCACCACGTGCTGGGCGAGGTGCGCCGCAATCCCCGGAGAAAGTTCCCCAAGGGCCCGCGCCTGCGGAAGGGGGACAGCGTCGACTCGTGTCGGATCTTCGGCAGTCTGGAGGGGAATAAAGTGCAGGGGGATTTCCACATCACGGCGCGCGGCCACGGGTATCATGATGCGCAGGGGGCGCATTTGGATCATAATGGTGCGTGTTCCCCCCCCCCTCCCCTTTTTCCTCACTCCCAGAAAAAAAAAAAAAAACCCGCAGTGGGGATCCAGGACTTAATAAGAAGCAGTCTTCAATTTCACCCACATGATCACCGAACTCTCCTTCGGCCCGCACTACCCGACCCTCCTCAACCCGCTCGACAAGACCATCGCCGCCACCGAGCACCACTACTACAAGTACCAGTACTTCCTCTCCGTCGTCCCCACCATCTACTCCAAGGGCACCGCCGCCCTCCAGGAGATCTACACCGACCCGCAGCACGCCCGCACCAACAGGAACCTGGTCATCACCAACCAGTACGCCGCCACCAGCTCCGCCGACGTGCTGCCCGAAAGCCCCTACTTCATCCCGGGAATCTTCTTCAAGTACAACATCGAGCCCATCCTGCTGTTGGTCAGCGAGGAGCGCTCCAGCTTCCTGGCCCTGCTCATGCGCCTCGTCAACACCGTC